TTTAAACTAAAGGCTCTGATACTACCAAATGTAACCCCCTAAACCAGGTATGGACGTTACAACAGGATCTACATGGATATATGTCATATACAAAAATCATTTTTCAGTGAATAAAATTTGTATAACAACAAAATATGAAAATGCACAACGGTAAAGTTCATACGGTAAATATATGCATATACCATCACCAGAAAACATATAAAACATGCTCAAAAACAAAATATCGATAATACAGATACGTGAAAACATTAGTAAAAACACGTGTCACAAAGTATAACAAAAAGGGCATAAAAATATATAGTGGTATAAAAGTAAGGAGAGATCGATCCTTATGATGCCAAGTTTGCTAGCCTATTGTATGGTACTATCTAAAAGTAAAAAATAAAGAATAAGCTAAAAATCTCAGTGTGCTCCTTACGGTGTATAAAAACATATAGATGAAATATTTCAGTAAAAGTTGATTTATATAATAGATTTTGAAAATATGAACACTAACCTCATCCAATCACCGAAATGTGTAGGTTCCCCTGAACCATACACCTGGTAAAAACCTTATATTGATAGCATAAGGGCCTACGGTAAGGACTTACCTTGTACACAAAGCGGAGGAGCCTGCGGTAAGGTCTTATAAGTCATAAACTAGGCCCGAGATACTTCCTCAAATCATACCCCCAATGATAGTAAATGTGCATGTAATTGCGTAAAAATAGTAGTTTAATTTATTAAAACATTAAAACATGCCATATTCCAAAATCAGATACGAAAATACGATAACCAGAGATCATGTTGAAAATATACCGTAAATCAGATATTATACAATCCGAATATTTAATATAATCATAATTTTAAAACAGTTCAGACTGATAGTTCAACACAGTACTATAACACCAATAGAAACATACATATATCAATCTGAGAAGTTGGATATGGTAACCTACTCTTAGGTTTTCCTATCACGACCGACGACAGTGTTAGATCATACGAATCGATGGAACTATATCAAAATCCTAACATAATAAATAATAACCTTTAATTCAATTATTTACAGAAACCTACGAGTAGCTCTCGAAGAACGTGGACCGTAAGGATCTACTGGACGGGGAGCATCGGACCTAGTTGACTCTCGGTAAAGGGAATCATAAGCACCTTCATAAAAATATAATCACAAATCAATTTTATAATCAAACCCCAAATAAAATGTCAAAATGCTAAAAATACTAAGAATTGTTTTGTTTAACATGCTCGATTCAGGGCTTTCGGATTAGAATTTGGTGAAAAAAACCACAAAATCAATCTTAGGAAATCAAAAAGTGTCAAAAGGGAGGATTTTGAAAAAAGTCAACCCGATCAACGGTTAAAGGCAACATCGACCAATGACGACGATCAATGGTCAACAGTTCGGTTCGTTTTGACGGGGCTAGTTTAATTCGGTTAAAAAATGGGCCGATTTGGTTAGACTAGTTTGGATTTGGGACGAATGGGTCAAACGAGTTAGATCGGGCGATCGGGTTGGGTACAGGTTAGCGGGTCGAGTTGACCCACTTCTAGGAGCTCCACCGGGCGGTGGACAAGCCCCACGAGCATGGGCGACGCCTGGTGGCGTGTACGATTTAGTTTGGCAACGAAAAAAATTTCTAAACTAATTTTAAGGGGTTTGGAGACACTTATCTAGCTAGGTTCGCAACAGTGAACGACAGAGAACTCAATTACGATACATCGAAAACTTGATATTACTCATCCTTCTATACGCCGGTGGTAATAGTGACAAGATGAACACCGGTGGACTCGAGACAACTCAAGGAATCCAAATGTATGTGCGATGTTGAAAATAGAGTAACGGTCGGTGATGAAACATCAAATGAAGATTTTTGGCCAAAAGTTTCCAAAAATGGAAGGTTGAAGTTGAGAAAAGTTTTGGGTTTCGAGAAATAGAAAATTTATGTTTTTGGGTTTTAAACCCTATTCAAAAGAAAAAAAGATAGAATTATGCATGGGATCTATAGGCTTTTGTTTATCATTGAATTTGGATTTGAATTAAATTAAAAGTTTATTTTGGTCCCGAATTTAATTAAAATTCATTTTAGTCCTCAGAATTAATAATAAGAAAAAAAATCTAAGTCTTATTTTGGGTGTGACAACTTTTATATATATATATATATATATATATATATATATATATATATATATATAAATGTGTGTGTATATAAGTAATTAAGTATATATGTAATTATGTATGATCAATGATGTATGTATATAAGTGTATATAAGTATATGTATATATGTACATATGTATGATATATGTATAATGCATGTATATATATATATTTATATGTCATAATTTTAAAAAAACAAAAGTAAAAATAATAAAAATTATAATTATTAAAAAATCTTCTTGTAAGGCTCCCATGTAACTAATTAGGTTTGGTTCACATGAATTGTCTTGGCAAATCCTTAAAACTATTAACATCATAAGTACAAGGGCCCACCTCTCTTATTCTTCTCCAAAACCAACGGCAAATGATGAAACTAGGAGGAAAATTTTTAACTTTTAAAAATCAAAAGCAAATTGGGCTACAAGTGGGCTTTTAGGGCTTTTATAAATAGGTTATCATTTTTTATTTTAATAGACTTTATATATATAAATGGACTCTAAAAGAATTGTATTATACTTTTATTATGAGAGCTTAAATTTTAACATAAATTTGTTTAATTTATTTTTTTTAATTTTAATGTATTAAAATGTAATAAATTTTATATTATTCAAATTTTCAAGATCAAATAAATTCATATTTTATATATATATTAAAATTTTAAATTAAATTAAATTATGAATTAATTATTACATAAAACATAAATTACACTTATAAATATTTAAATTAATTTTATATAATATATTAAAAACATATTTAATAAATAAATTATTTAATGATTATAATTAAGTTTTATAATATAAAGATTTTAATTAATATAGAAAATAAATTTATTAATATAATTATCATAACTAACAATTTGTTTCAACTTTTAAAAATAATCTTATTAATTATCATAGTTTATTATAAATTCAAAATCTTACAATTTCATCAATTGTAACTTATAAGTCAGATAAATATCAAGTTAGGTAAATGTTAAATCAATTCAATAACAAATCGGATCATTTACAAGTTGAGTTTAATTCATAACAGGTTAAGCTGATAACAGGTAGGGTAATATCAATTATTTACTAAGTTAATATGGGATTTAGGTTGATATCAGTCAGATGTAACTCGGGTTCGATTATCATATTGTCTGTTCAATTCGGTTTAGGTCTTTCTCATGTCAGGTTCAAATTCCTAATTTTTAGGTCCAACTCAAGTTCATGTCAACACCAGTTCAAACTCGAATCGATGTCAAATTACTACCACCTCAGGTTACAATCAATTTTAAATCAAATCGATTTCAATCAGGTCGAATCAATTTTTTACATCCTCGTACAAGGTTGTGGGATTTCAGGATGTGCCGATTCGAGCCATAAGTTTGGGTCAGTTATGTACAAATTTAATACGGACACATGATATATAAAAATTAGGGTAAATTATGAGGAATGTCATTTCTATTTGAGTTTTGTCATATTTTGATAGAAATTAAAGAAAAGTTATATTTCAATCACTTGTGTTATTAATATATTTTAATTTAATTATTGAATCGTTAAATTTTATTACATTGATGATGTGATACTTTAACAAAATTATTAATCTGTCACAAATTTGATTTTTTTTTTAAATTTCTAATAACTCTATCTTTATGGCATTTTTTTGCTTTCGTGACACGTTTTTGTTTGCCTTTTGGCACGTTCTGATCTTTTTATTGATTGTTTTGTCGATTTTATTATTTAATTTTCTCAAGGTTAGATTTAACATCACATCGATTGATCAAGATGACTCTGGTTTGTTATCTTGGTGATTTGTCTTGTTTTGGACCCTCAGATGAATTTGGGGATATACGATTTGCGTTCAAAGATAGTTTTTTCACGATGCTCAACACTGATTCGTGATTTTCTGTGGTTTTTTAGTAGCTTGATCCTGTTTTGTGGTTCATTTGCTGATGTAATCAAATCTATTTACATCTTTATTTCGTTCAATTTTCTTTTGGATGAATTTTTAATATTTTCCTTATATGGTTCTTATATGATCTTAAGCGGATATTTCCATGTCAATGATTATAAGAAATGTCTTAACCAAGGATGGACTGGTGGGGGTGGGTGCAGTTGCCCCTATGTATTTTTTTTATTGAAAATATGTTTTCGTCCTAGGACTTTTATAATCAAGCTCACCCTGAAATTTTATAAATTCAAATTCGCCTCTCCTAATATAAAATCTTGCCTCTGCACCTGATCTTAATTATGGGTTTATTTTACCCTTATGATGATAAACTATTATTATAATTTTAAAATTTTCTTTTTTAGTAAAACTAGCTGGTTCTATTTACGTAAAAAAGAATATACAAAATATCAAATTCACCTTTAAATTTCTTTCAAATAATTTTCACCTTTTTCTTCTAATAAGCTTCGATTTCAAGTTTATCCTTAGCTTTAAACCGAGCAGTCAAAAATATAGTTTTTCACATGCATTTGCAGGAACTTATTTGCAAGGTGATGAAAAGTAGTGAAGTGATTCCTCATAGAAATTTCCATGAACTTATTCTATAAGAACAACTACATGTTCCATATACATTTATTCACAAAACCCAAGAAAGTGGTAAGTAGTTGCAAACTTCCACCCTTTGGCCTTAAGGAAGGTATAATTAAAGTGTTCATACACTATACAAGGTAATAATAGTCAACGTGAATGCATATAATATGAACGCATTGTTTTTCCTGGGATTTTCCTCGTGGACTCTTCAAATATATATGTCAAAGCAGTGTGGCATCCACACTCCATCCATTTCTCTGCAAATTTTAATACATTACACAGCGATTTCTTGTTTCCACCTTCTTCTTCTTCTTCAACTTCATAAACAAAAAAATGCAGAAATCACCGTCGTCATCGAACGAGATGATTCCGCTATGGGGAATCATTGTATCTCTGATCTTTCTCAACTTCGAGATCATACTGCATGATTTCTATTCGTGCATTTGTTTCATCATCGGTATATTCAAACTTATCCTAGTAATCATTTCTTGCACCCGCGTCTCTCCCTCTGCAACAACAAAGAAAATCTGCACAAACAGCGAGAGAACTTCTAATGCACCCGCGGCAGACCAAACGACAAGCGACCATCATATAAACCTGTCGTTTTCGGAATTAAAAACGGTGATCGAGAACGAGGGGATAGCTCCAATAGATTGGCTGTTCGAGGAAGAAGAACCGAGTTTGACGGAAGTGAAAGAAGCTTTCGATGTGTTCGACGAAAACAAGAATGGATTCATCGATGCAAAGGAGTTGAGGAATGCTTTGTTTTCGTTGGGGTTCATCAAGGAGGCTTCGGAAGATGACTGTAAAAGGATGATTAAAGGGTTTGATGATAATTTCGATGGTCAAATTGATTTCAATGAATTTTTAAAAGTGTTGGAAACAAGTTTCTGCTCTCCAAATTAAGCTTCTTTTCTTTTTTCCATACCCTTCTGGTGTGTGTGTGTGTGTATCACTTCAACTTCAAATTATCTACAAATTACACTTGTTTCTTATAAGAAAAATAATTTACCACTGTATATTTGACTTTTATTTATTTATAATAATTAACTAAACCCTTTGATCAATTTTAATAATTGAATTTTAACCCTTTGATTTTTGACCCATAGCTTTACTCCAAATTGGGATAATTAAAATTGAACTTTTGACCCATGGCACAACACATTCAGGGGTTAGTAAATTCAATTTGAGTTCGAGTTTCCTTTTGCTTGAGTCAAGATTTCCAAGCACGTTCTATTGCAAACAAAAATGCTTCAATTTACAACAGAATTTCATATTGCATATCTAATTTTATTCATATTTTGTTTATGAACAAAAAGAAAATGCTCATCTTAATTTTTCTACAGGAGTATTTTTAGTGTACAACTTGGGGGATTATGGAAATATTTTCCAAACACATCCCCATTAAAACTGTGCTTAAACAAAAAAAAAAACAAAGAAATGAAAAAGGAAGTTCATATACAGATGTCAATAATCATGTTCAGCAGGAAACAATGGCCAGATATCAGATTCCATCATAAAACCTCTATTGTTGCATCAGTTCAGTTCTATCAGAAGAAAGGTCAAACAGGAAATGTTCGGATTCGGGTGCGTATCTGTGAGTCACTTCATCTACGAATTATGGCATTGTCCCGATGGAGGCGTTTGATTCATGAAAGTAGGTTTCGTTTGCTGCGATAAACAACGATCCAAATCAATGACTTTAAACTATATCGAAGTAAAACAAGTTCGACTATACAAATATAAAGAATCCATTAACTTAGTAGGATGTAAGTAGAGCAAGAGAAATTATGTTTCCTCACCTGATGGTAAGAATTCCCATCAAAAATGGCGATGCCACAAGGGCCAGAGGAAGATATCCAAGATTGATGACCACTATTAGACATTGGTCTCGGGGCTTCGAAGTCAGTAATAACTTGGTAAACTCCTGGATTTCCTTGAAAGTTCCTTGCCATCTCAGGCTTCAACTTCTCATCCTCTAGCAAGTTTGCAGCACTATATTGCGGGTACAAGAATTGCTTATTTAGTTGGGAATTTAAGTACGAGTTACTCCCTAACTCATTCAGGCCATTACTTTCCTGTACAGTATTATTATCAACTTGTACTGAACTGCCGATATCGGTTTGTTTACCAGAGGCAAAGAAACCAGAATAACTGGCAAGGGATCCATCTGCAGGGCACTCCGTATCTCTGGATTAAAGGAACACCAAAAATTCATATTGAGATTAAGTCGGCCAGTTGGCTTCGAGAGAAATTTCTATTCATAAGGTTGAATGTCAAAGAAGACTAATAGGAATGGAATTTGAAGGAAAATATCCATAAAGGTCTTACAGATTAGGGAGAAAATTTGGATCATTTTGCAATAACATTTGCTGATTGTCATTGTTTGGAAGCCATGTAACAGGTTGGCCTTCTTGCACCCCACCCATCATCACGGGAAAAGGCATCGCATTCTGAAACTGTAAGCCAAATAAGTTGTAAGATATTCCCCCCAAACGAAAGAGAGATGGAAGAGATTATATATTTTGCTACCTGGCTAGTGGATTCTAGTGGTAGAAGATGGTGCTTTCCATAGTTTTCCTGCCAAGATAGTAGCACGGGTAAGTAATTTATACGTAATTATGGCTCGGATTCTATTAAATTGGTAACCTTATAAGTACAAAGAGGCTAAATAACCAAGCAGTTTTCATCAGGATCTGGTACGGCTAAACTTTATTGTAGTTAAACCTATGTGACTCAAACTTGGGTGTGATTGTTGGATACGAGTATGTTTCAAAAGCGGCTAGGGTCAGATTTTCTAAATGTTTCCATGTATTTGGAGGATCCTTGGAGGTCATATCTCCATATCTATGTGCCGGACACGAGTACTATACATGGATACTTAAAGAAAAATGAAGAGTCGGAACAACAGAGTTAAACACTATCATTTGAACCAAGCAAATACGTACAATGTGTTGATACTTGATTATACTCTATATGTGGAACATATACATAACAAATACATATATGCATGTCTGTATGCATTTCTCTTTTTGTCTTAACTTCGAAAGAAAACAATGTACCTTGTGTATCCGTATACGCTCAATGGATTCTCTAAGTGAATCTTCCATCTGCCTAAGATGTTCTATGTTGTCAATTTTATCCGGATTACTCCAGTAGCTGAAACCATCACATGATAACATAAGAATTCCTAAAATTACTCCATAAAACAAATAATCATGAACACAACCAAAATAAAGAGAGAGAACGCAAAACAACAACTTAAATTGCTATCGTCCAAAGGTTAGAGGCGAGCTATTAACAGAGTTTGAGTTACATCAGAAACTAACAGCTGAATGAGTTGACCACCAGAGGCACTATTCCTTTTCATGCAGTTGCATTATAATTTTCTTAAAAATGTAAGCTTATATTATTCTGGATGATCTAGCATTTATCTACAAGCCAATCCCTTAAATTATAATCTTTCATTATAATATCTCTATATGATAATATATAACAACATTAAACCTATGAATCAAGTTCCTTCCACCCCTACACCCACCCTATCTTAATTCCAATCAAACTGGCAATAAACTTGCCACATAAAATGCTAATGTAGCAAATGCTGAAACTTCATAATGGCCTCAAAATGCATCTTGTATTTTCTATCCTCAGGAAAACATTAACCTAAAACACCAAACTCAGAAAAAGTAGTTAATCAGGGTCTAAAGATCAGTTTAGAGGATGTTCTAATAGACAAAGCTAGCATATCTTGCAGTACATTAGAGTTTAAGAATATAATTTACTATAAAACTATAAATGGTGAATCTTCTTCTTATCTCATTCAAACATTTTATAAGCAGGAACAAAAAGAAAAAGCAATACTTTAACAACCAAAAGCTCCAAAGGTGCACCTCAGTCTCTTATGTACTTCGTTAAGCCGAGCTTGCAACATTGATACTTCATTAGTCATTTCCTGAAAATAGCAATATCCAAGAAGCCTAAAAAAAATAAGAATTACAAGAAAACCTAAGATAAAATGGGACAAAGGTTGCAAGCAAACTTCATACCTCAACAGATTGACTGCTGCAACGGTTAAAAAAAAAGAAAAAAAAGAGAGAGAGATTAGATTCCTCCCAATCTCTTACTTAAAAAGAAACATATTATCTGGAAGAAAATGAAATAAATATCACATACGTTGCACCTAGAAAGTCTTGTATGTTTAAATCATGGTCCAATTTCTTGAAGGTTTTCTCAGTGCCTATATTTAAAATAACAAGAACAAAAAAATTATAACGATAGAAGAGTAATAAGGCTATACTCTTCACTTGAAGCAGAATATATTGAAGAATGTGTGTAGTAAGGAGTCTTACTTCAAGGCTCTCCAGTTTCCTGTCATGGACCGACAAAAACCAGTCAGCTAAAATACCCATTTGAATACCACAGATTACTAAACAAGTCAAAATTCAGAATGCACACCTTTTTGCCCTTTCTTGTGGTGTTAATTGTGCAAACTTTGCAATAACCTCTTCGATGGAGCTGAAAAAAAAGGCAAACAAGCAACAAAAACGAACTAATTGCGTTACAAAATTTTCTTCTAAAAAGCATGTCATCTTCAGTTATAAACGCATAACTAAATGCGTATATGTATGATTATTTAGAAACGATATACCTATGGCTATTTCGGATATTACTTGTTATGTGCATGAAATTTTTTTATTAGGAAAGAAAAGAATAACAGTAAAATATATTTATGCTTTTAAATGATAAAAAATCAAAATACAGCACAAATCCAGAGATCAAAAGTGGCAAAAAGTATACATTATTAAAATCCTAGGCCACCATGCTTACTAATTAATCTAGCTAATCATCAAAACTGTCTAAGAATAAGAATGCTGCAAGGAGCACTTGCACACGAATCTGTATATTTATCTGCAGTTAATATAAAACATACACAAATTATCAGTATATATGCTCTACTACTTCTGCTATTGTTATACATTGTATTGATGTAATATTGATTTCTCTCTCAAATGTAAACAAAACTATATAGGAAGGTCAAATGTGGCTATAATTTGCAAATAAATAGAATTTTAAATGGTTCAAAGAAGCAATGATTCATTAATCTCTAGTAAAACATAAACTTAAGCCAAACGATGATTCAATCCTTCCGATACCTGCGCTCTCCATGGAATAATGTAGGCTTCCCGGTCGGAGAAAACATGAGAAGGATGATATGAATGTCGCATAATATCGATAATTCCTTGGCTTTCTTCAAGATTCCAGTTCTTCGTTTCGAATATGTAACTTGCCTGTTGCTATAGCTCTCTAACCTTTTAATTTTTAGTTTAACCCTTCCCATCCTGCAAATTCGCAAGAAAAATCATGGATCACTTTCTTAAACCATAATTTCATTCTAAGTCACAAAAATCTCCACATTTACTCACTCTAATTAAGCAAAACAAAGCTGTGCAAGTGGAGCTCTCGTCCCGGGCATCAACATCAAACAACCATGTGATCTTCAATAGAATTTCAAACGCAGATACTCAAAATTGAAAAGTTGGACGAAAATTTAATAGAAAAAAGTTTAAACATAAAAAAGAAAAAGCATTTGTTGACATCCATCATCACGTTCCCTTTTCCACAGAAACAGAGCATATCTTATCTAAGGAAAAAAACAAGTTTTTAAGTTGAATACGATTAAAATTTCAGAAACCCAGAAGAGAAATACCAGTAAAATTACAAATAAAGAAAATTGAGAGAGAGAGAGAGAGAGAGAATTTGTTAACATCCAATGGAGAGAAAACAAAAATTTTATCTTTGTCCCTAAAGAAAGCCCAATTTACAGAAATGAAGTATACCCGGGAGAGAAAATCATTGAGTAATAAGAGAACAATAATTGTTTCGATGAATTCATTGAGATTAAAAATAAATAGATCAAACAGTGAAGCTTAAAAAATAAAAGAAAGAAAAGAATGAAAACAAAAGAAAAATGAAACCAGAACTTACAATTTAGAAAGGAGGAGGAGGGGTCAGGCTATGATTTCGGTGGATAAAAACACTGAAATTTCGTAACTTCACGAAGAAGGGGATAGCTTAGAGACGGTGGATAGAGCCAGCCAAATGGAGGGTGAAATGTTCGACCAAATGTCCATGAAAATCTAAACCGGATGGTTGCATAGGATGGAGCGGATCATATGTTTTTTATTCAACAAACATTTAAGAAAATTATTTGATATATCATATAAATTTTAATTTATATAGTTCTATATACTTTTAATCAAAAATATAATTATATATAGTTTGAATTTTAAAGTTTTTAAAAATTAAAGTGTAAGGATTTAAGTATTAAAATTTTAAATTTTAAAATATAAATTTAAAATAAATAAATCATATAAAATAAATTTTATACAAATGTTTTTATTAAAATATTTAGAATTATAACAATGAGTTGGTTGAAGTGATAAGTAATTCATTATCACTTAAGTAGGTATTGAATTCAAATCTTTATATATACAGAAAATTTCTACAAAATAGATTTCTCCACTAAAATTAGACGTACAATATAAATTGATTCGAATTAATTTTATGAAACTCTTCGACAGAAAAAATGTTTAAAATTATAAAAATACTTTTAAACTAAAAAGATCTGCAAACTGTACATGCGAGCTGCAGGCATGTGTTATACAAATATTAAAAAACACTTTATTTTTATATGTATATGCTAAAGTAAAAATTATATATGTAGATATTATTTATAACAATTTTCTCAATTTCATGAAAAGTATTACCTACGATTATAATAACAATAAAATATTTTTAAATGATATAGATAATTTTAAAACAATATGCTACTCTAATTTTTTTAGTCATTAATGATATATATTTTATAAAAGTAATTGTTTAAATTTAAATTAAAAAACATTCTTTTTTATATTAGAATTATTCAATGAATTCATAATAAAATAAAAACAACACTACTAAAAATCAAATGTATACGTTGATGAATATCATGACAAGAGATCATGATAATTTTATAAAAAAATAAAAGAGTTTAACTATCAATAATCAGTTGATCCAGTATGATGAAATAATATATCTTTTAAGTAAGGTTAAGAGTTTGATATCTAATGTTTACGGATGGAGTAAAATGAGTTGGGAGGGTCACCTTTACTTCTGTAGTACCCGATCTAAATTAATTGATTAATAGATTGTATATCAGTGGTTATAAAAAATAAAAGAGTTTAATTAATATAAAATTATTTAATTTTCATCTGTTGTAGGAACTAAAAAAAATATGAAATGTTTTAATTACTCTTGATCTAATGAAATATGAGTCAATTTTTTTTGTAAAGGCCTTCAAAGGCCCTTTACCTTAAAAAGTTAATGTGACTCTCGTATTATTTTTCTCTTAATATGATATTTTAATTCATAAAATAAATTCAATGTGGTCTTTTGATCAACATCTTTCGTCATTGACAGTTATAATGCTGACATAACAGTTCACAAATGCTAACATGACATTTCATGGTGTTGACGTGATAGTTCACGGTGGCTGATGACGTAGTGAATGACATTGCATATGGGCTAAATTGATTTTTTGCTTTTGTTAGAAGGTTAAATTGGTTTTCTTTAAAGTTCAAGGGATTTTTCCTGAAAAAAGTTGTTTTAAATTATAAATATAAATTATTTAAATATTTAAAAAATAAATATAAATTTTTTTAAAATTATTAAATTATTAAAAATTATATATATATATATATTAAAAATAATAAAATATTATAAAAATAAATATATATATTAAAAATAATAAAATATTATAAAAATAAATATATATAATAGATTATAAAATAATTACTTCTAAATTATTAAAAATTTTAAATATATCTTAAAAATATATTATACATAACACATAACATATGAACATACCATCAACACTTATAAAAAGTACTTTTACTGGATAATCGAGAATTATAAAATTTGAATTAGTTTAGACTTATAATTTTTGGATTAGTCAAAACTTATTATGTTTTTTAATTATTTTTTGTAAGTCTCGACTAATTTAAAAGATAATTATAAAATAATTTTTGACATAAAAAGATAATTAGAAATATAATAAGTTTTGATTAATCCAAAATTTGTAAGTCTCGACTAATTTAAATTTTCTAAGTCTCGATTAATCTAGTAAGAATACTTTGTATAAGTGTTAATGATATGTCTATATGTATAATATATCTTTTTAAAAATATTTTTAATTTATTTAATAATTTATAAGTTATTATTTTATAAATTATGATATATGTTTAAAAAGTTATTTTTTATAAAAGTTTTAATATTTTTAATATGTATATTCAAATTTTTTAGTAATTTATTTTTTTATTTTTATATTTTTATATTTGAATATTTCTATATTTAAAATTTAAAATAACATTCATTTTTTGAAAAAATAAATAAGTCCTTTAACTTTTAAAAAAAATTAGTTTAACCCTCGAACAAAATAAAAAATCAATTTAACCCATCTGTCACTTCATTAATCATAGTGAACTATCACATCAGTAATGTGAACTGCAACGTCAACATTGTAACGAATAAAAATGAAAAATGTTGGTCAAATTGTCACATTGTGTTTGTTTTCTAAGTTGGAGAACCATGGAGAGAAAAATAATACGATGACAACATTTTTTTTAAGTACATGGACTTCTGATACATTTTTGTCATCTTTTAAACAATTCTTACTTAATGGAGGGTGGAACGAGAAATTTACTACTAATAAGTATTGAACTCACAACCTAAGATAGAGAGTAAGTGTTAATTGAGAGCTTTCAACCCATGCTATAGAGATTGTTAAATAAATACCTATAAATTTTAATTAACTCGAGGTTAAATCTTTTTCCTTTTGACTTTGTCTCTCTCTTTGAGTTAAATACATTTAAGTTATGATTCAGTTAGTATATAATTGTGATATAATTTTATAAGAATTATTATTTGATATATGTTTCGTATAACATTTATTTATGCAATTTGTTTATTTAAATCTCAAATCATAAGATACTACACTCTAAAATCTTAATTCTTTAACCCTAAATTATAAAGCTCTAACCCTTAAATTTTAAATTTTAGACTCTAGTTAGGACATATGACAATAAAATAGACATACTACCTTTTTACCATATATTCTTTTTAAAATAAATCATTTTAACTGTAACATTTTTATTTAAACACTCTCTAAAGCAAATAATTGGACCCATGAACAAATTTTAATTTCCAATGGCTTGTAAGAAGAGAAAAAAAATGAAATATTTGCGAGTCAATGGGCTCAAACCAATGTTCAAATAATATGGGCTGGTTCATTATGTACATTAGCCCATCCCTCCTTAACCCTGAAACCCTAAAACGGATCGCTCCCTTCCCTCACATGTATATAAAGACCCCCACGGAACCCTAAATATTACCCTCGACGTAAACCCTAAATCCCCAATTCGATTTCCTCTGCCAGGGCTCTCTTCCCCCCCCCCCAATTTCTTCATATTACATTGTGTTTTTATTTGTACGAATGTTTCATTTGCAATTAGCATGAATGTGAGGTTTTAAAGCTTGTTCAAACTTATTATAAAAATGAGTTTTATTTTATAATACTGTAGAATGGTGGATTTTTATTTATAAAAATAGACAGGGACATCTGCACACCCTCGTTTGGTTAGGTTGATTGATGACTCGAGTCTTAAATGGAAATCTCTCTGATGCATTGATTATCTATAGAATTTCAATTATTTTTTGTTTTTCTGAAGATTGTGATAATTGGGGGATGTCACCGTACGGCAGTATAATATACAGTTAAGAAAAGACGTTATTTAAAAATATTATTGTTTTTTTAATATTTTCGATAAAATGCTATCTAAAATATTATTTTTTTCTATCAAAAATTTTAATATTAGGCTCTACCTAAAATATTAATTTTTACCGATTTTTTACCAAAAATTAGATATCAAAATTAATAATTTTTAGTAAAAAATAATGTTTTATGTAATAATTTACTGTAAATATTAAAATCCAATAACATTTTCGATAATAATTTTCTTTAACCGTATATTAAGTTATTATAGTATCCTCTCCATAGATTTATGCAAGTGATGATAAAGATAGACAGGGACATCTGCACACCCTTGTTTGGGTGATTGATGACTGTCTTAAATGAATGGTGCAGAATATATTTAATAATTATTGGGCTTCTTACATTTTTTTAGTTTTTAAATTATATCCTGATATTTAAATTTTTTAACAAGAGGTGTTTCGTGTTTTCTTTACACTTATTTTAGAAGTTTATAGTTGTCGGTTATAGTTTTAGGTCATTATATATTTTTTTATTTTTTAATAATAAAAACATTAGTTTTTAAAAAAATTAAAAAAATTAATCTTCCACCCCACATTATTCCTCTCCCTCACATCTCTTAACAGTGACAGTCGTGTAACGTATGGACGATTGTAGTTATTAAAATCGTCGGAATCAACAACAAAAAACTTACAAATTAAATAACCCTTTATGACATTTTTCATTACGATCGATGCATTTTTACGGTGGGTGAGAGATTGGGTTTTGGTGGTGATGGTGAGATGGTTTTGATTGTTAGATAACGATTATTATGATCCATACACCTAAAAGTATAACGTTTTAAACATTAAATATGTATTATTATAAAAAATATTTAAACATTAAACTGTATTTTGAAATATAATTTAGTCAAAAAAAATGTATTAAGCCTTATAATGAGGTCTCGTACATTTAAGACTTGAATTAATTTTAAATTATAATTTTATAAATTTTGACTCAATTTAAAAAATATAAGTTCAAATCACGTAATTTTTAGTAATTAGTGAATTGATTTTCAAGTTTGAGTTGAATACTTCAACTTTGTATGATATATGTATATCACATATGAAAAAATATGAATAAATATATTTGTGTTGTATATATGGTTATAAAAGTCATTTAAATTGGAATGAAATAATATTATAATATTATAAATTTTACAATTAAATTTAAATAGAAACTCAAAAAATCGACTGACTCGAATTTTTTTAACTCGATTCAACTCGAAAAAATTTTAACTTCAAGTTGTAAAATAGGACTTATCAACTCGAATAACTCGAAATTTTTTGACTTGACTTAACTCAATCGAATGCTAACCCCTACGTACGCTTATACTTGTCATTTCAAGATTTTAAAATTGTATTTAGTATTCTATTTATTAGATTTTCTAACTAGTTAATTTTATAAAATAAAACTTGTAAACCTATTGAGTAGTCTAAGTAATTAAATGGAGTGTTATTCTCTCTTGGATTTGAGCAGTTATGTATAGAACATTTGTTATAAATAATTAATAAATATTTTGAATATATATTATCTTATAATCATATTAGATTATTCAAAAAATAAAATAAGATTAGTTAAACACTCAATTAAACTATTTGATAAAATAAAGATATTGATTAACTCCATTATGGGTAAGAAAGATGTATTTAGCTATTTATCTATTTTTGTGATTTTGTTTGTCGTTAAATTTTTTTTTTAATTTTAATATTATATTTTAATTATTTGTTAAAAAATTGTTATTATGATGATCTTTTTTATTTTTTTAATGATGATATAACATTATTTTATAGTAATATTATTAATTCTTTAAAGAAAAAAGAACAAAACATAATAAAATGTAAGATTTTAGAAAAAAATTAATAATTGAGTGTTCTGTTTGTATTATTTACTATTTTCATAGTTTTTTTTCAATAAGTCATATTCTTCAGGATAACTTCATGCACTATTTTAAATTAGTAGTTGTCATTGTTTTTAGGAGTTATAGGTAATTATATGTGATTTTATTTTTGTCATTTGTTAGGTTGTATAAGCCAACTTTTGTCTTTAATAAATAGCGTGTTTATTTCATCTTCAACTTGAATTGTTTATATTACATTTGGTATCAGAGCTTGGTTGTTGAGAAAATAAGTAAATATGAGTGAAGAGAAATGTGACATTAGTCTTACAAAGATTCCTCATTTTGATGGTTTTAATTACGCTCATTTGAGCAAGTTCATGGAGAATTTATTGAGATCCAAAGGACTATGAAGCCTAGTTGAGAATGGGTTCAAGGAACCAAAACCAACAACTATGCAAACTATCGCACAATAAACACAATTGGATGAGATAAAGATGAAGGATCACAGGGTCAAACACTATTTATATCAAGACATAGATCGTGTGGTTTTTAAGAAAATTTTGAACAAGCGAACGTTTTAAAATTGTTTGGAATTCTTTGAAAATCAAATTTAGTGGAAATGAGAGTGAAAAGGTATTTTCTCAACACCTTAAGAATATGAGGTGTTAGAAATGAAGAAAGAAGAAACGATCAATGATTATTTTGCTAAAGTGATGATTGTAGTAAATCAGATGTGGAGCAATGATGAGATCATGCCTGACTCGATGATCATGGAGAAAATTTTTGAGGACTTTGACAAAATGGTTCACCTATGTGGTAATATCTATGGAAGAGGCAAAATATATATATATATATATATATATCATATCGGTTGATGAATTGTAAAGCTCATTGTCTGTACGTGAACAAAAGTTTATGAGAGTTGATCGGGAAGAAAATCATGCCTTAAAAGTTGTTGATGATTAAAGGTTTGAAAGTAGACGACGCGGCGTAAATTCATACCGAAAGCATGAAAGAAGTAGAGAAAATCATTTGACAAAGCACAAGTAAAATGCTATAAATGTCACAAATTAGGGCATTTTCAAATGAAGGTCCAAGGTGGGAGAGTAAGGCAAACTTTGTGGGATTCGATGAAGAGGAGGAGTTGCTCTTAATGTCATGTGTGGAGACACATAACTCACAACAAGATGGCGTATGGTTTCTTGATTTAGGTTGCTTAAATCATAACGTTTGAGAAGTTTAGGGGAAAACTTGGAATTTGTGGTGTAACAGAAATAATCTGACCGTAAATATACAGAACGGTTTAAGGGATGAATTATTTATTGTTTTTCAAAGCTATTTTTTGTTTTGTTTCAGTAAGTCATATTTTTTAAGACAACTTCATGCACTATTTTAAATTAGTAATGGTCCTTGTTATTAAAAGTTATAAGTGATTAGATGTGATTTTATTTTTATCATTTGTAAGGCTATATCAGCCAGCTTTCGTCTTCAATAAAAAGTGTTTATTTCATCTTCAACTTAAATTGTTTACTTTACATGTTCAAAATAGATTTATCGGTATTGACTAATATATAATTTGTCTTTGATTTTATCATAATTAAAGTATAAGATATATATATATATATTTATTATAATTTTCTTAAACGTGCATAGTAATTAATATTTTCAGACATCTCGTACAAGTATGCTTTCTATGAATTAAAGAAGTTTAATGTCGTTTTATTCTAGCATATAATTAAATTACATAAAAAAATTATGAAAATTTTAAAAATTTAAACTGAAACCATTATTTATTAAATTTTATTTAGAAAATGTTGGGGGCAATGTCAAGTTGCGGATTCTCACCAGACATTATTATGAAGAGTCGAAATTTGAATAGAAATCCACGTCAGTGCCACGGTTATATGTCTGTACTTTGCTGCTTCTGGAAAGTGATTGCTTGGAGGGCGGCGGCTGTGGATCCTAAAGTTTAGGGTAAAATACGCATATAGTATTTAAATTATCAATATTAGTTTAGTTTAGTATCTAAATTTTTAGTTTTATCAAAATAATACCCAAAGTTTAGTTTTTGTTTTATTTTAATTCCCATATTCAAAATTCAAAGTTAATTTTTGAAAAATATTGAAATTTTAGGTATTAAAATGACCAAAATTATATAGTTTATGTACTAAACGTGTTAAGTTTTTAACAACATGATACTAAAATGAAACAAAACAAAACATTAAGTATGGTTTTGAAATAATTGAAAGTTTAGGTATTAAAAGGGATTAAAACTTACAGTTTAGTTACTAAATGCATAGTTTACCCTAATTTTTATTGGGATCCCACACTTTTTTTTTTAACTATATAAGGGTATTTATAGGTTTTTATAACAAATTTATATAGTATTTAAACACGAAATCATCAAATCTGTATGCTAATCTTTCATTGTTTCACCTCTAGTCATTTGTTGAAATTAACGTGTATGAATACATTTTTACATATTTTTTGTTTTATTTATGACGTGGATGAAAAATCTCATATTATTATTAACATACAAAATTTTATATAAAATACAAAATACTTTAACCATATACGTGTCATGTACATTTATGTAATTGTAGGTGATATACTTATTGATATCCTCTTTTTCCATCCACATGATGTAGTGTGGTCAAACGAAGAGTATGATCTTCGTCAGTGCCACGCCATTTTCCTCTTTAGTTGTCCCAAAGAAGACAATGTCTTATCTACCCACAGAAATACGAAATGTGTTCTCTCTCTCTTTAATAAACTCACAGATCTTGATGAGGCTTATAATTAATCCATTAAATATAAATATTTAAATTATTAATTGGATGCCATTTTAATAAAAAATAAACTGGAAAATATATTATTTTGATAAATTTGTGCAATTAAAAGTGAATTTTATTAACTTTGATATAAGTTTAAAATTAAATATTTGCAACAATCTGGTCCAGATTCGGCCACAAATAACAAAAAGAGTCAATTTGTGTGGGCTGGCCATCTCAATGATCACAATGGTTTTCAGAACCGGAC